CAAAGCCCCAGGGAGATTTGTATCCTGAGATACCATCCCTCTGTCAGGCATGGAGGATGAGCTGCCACCACCATCATTGCTCTTAGCTTTAATTTCCAGCACAAAGAGTCCCAATCCCCTCTGGAGTGGAGGCACTGTGAGACAGACACGTTGCCTCTTAATGCAAAGCTAACTGTGTTTACTCTATTACTCAGTTCCCAATTACAACCCTTATCTCACAGGAGCTTGGGATGGCTCTATAGTTGCAGAAACTTCATGGTAAAAGGGGCATTTTTTAAATACAGTGTTTTCCAGAAAGACTATCTTTAAAATATAGTGCAGTTGAAATCCTCTGCTTCCTTTAATTCTATTTTCAGGTTGGGTTTTTTTCGAATTAGGTTTAGCAACATGCATGAGATGTTTGATTAAAGGGACAAGGCTTGGGTTTTCTGTGTCTGTACAGAAATAGCTGTTCCCTGGGTGGGCCAGGTGAAGCTGAGCAGAATTATTGTCCCTTGACTTCCCCAGCCTTCTGGGTGGAGGAGGCAGGGATGGGACTGGCTGCCTGCAGGAAAGTCTGGCCAAAGGCACTGGGCCACATCCTTTGTGGAGGTAAATCAACATTGTCTGGGTGGTGCTTCTGGAACCATGACTATTTCCATCAGGAGGATCAGGCCTTTTCCATATGGTGAGGAAGTGGTAAAGATCACAAAGGGGCAATAATTGCGAGAATCTATGGGGTTTTCCTATATAGGTCTAAAGAATGAAAGTATGGCTCTTTCCCTTTAAGAGGACTTGCTGAGCCGATATGACAACGAGCACAAATGCCCAGAGGAAGAGCAGTGTTGGTGTGAAGACACAGCCCCAAAAGGCAAAATGTCTGGATTTTATTTGCAGCTCTGCCAGCAGCTTCCTGGATGATTGTGGCCAAGTGAACCAGGTCTGTTGTTCCAGCAGCCCCTGTGCCCTCTCTGCACAGGCACAAGTTGTGTGTTCACTCAGGGCTTTGCACAAAAGTCCAGCAAGTGCAAAACTGCAGAGAGCCATGTGCTGTCCTGCTTTATCCAGGGAAATGGGGTGAGTTTGTGAAGCCACTGGATCCCTGAGAGCAGGGATTGGATCCAGAAATGTGGGAGAGTGTCAGAGCAAAGCCCACCTTGCCCAGTGGCCCATTGCTGGCAGATGATGCCCAAGGAAGAAAACAAAGTCAAGGTGAGCAGAGCTGGACTTCCAGAGTTGGGAGTGGTTCGTGTGAACTCAGCAATCCTCAAAGGATTTCTAAACCCAGGAGCATGAGTAGTCCAGGATGAGCTCTCAGGGCACCTTGGGATTTTTAGCTTCCTTGGAGCAGGACTCATTTCTTCAGCTCTACGTCAGACCTGCTGGGTCACACAGGGCTTTTGTGGCTGCTGCAAAGAGCAGCCTTCCCATGGCTGTGTCAGCTCTCACAAGGAAGTGATGCTGCCTGCCAGGGAATTGAGGCTAAATGCACTGCTGTTTCCTCATGCTTTGGAAGGGAATAGAAGTCTGGAGAGAGTTATTGTTGTGGTGTACAGGAACTTTGCCAGTATAATGTCCTGTAATAACACCTAGTCTTCCTTCAGGTCATTAAGTTACCTATTTTTTAGTACTCTTGCTCTATTTTTTAGTACTCTTGCTCATGACAAATAGATCTTGAGTTCAGAGATGCCCTCCTTTTTCCTTCCTTTTTTCTGACTTGCTACATATATTTGGGATGTTTTCTCATTTTTTTTATGGCACTGCATCCAAATATCCCTATTTAAGTGTCATCTTCCAAATCTGTCTTCCAATGAGCCACTACCAGATAACAACACATTTGTGCTCTGTCTCCATGTCTCAGTAGGAACTAAAGCATGAGGAAATATTCTGAAGGGCACTGCAGATGATGAAACTGGATTTAGAATAAGGAAATATCTGTCTGCTCTCAGAGATAGTCTCACGTCTGCTCTATCTGTGCCCCATAACCGAGCTGCACCCTGGAGGCCACAGAGCCGAGTTAGGTGGGGTGCCTCGTGGTGGGGTTCGTACGTCCGGCTCAGGATGGCGGGAATATGGCTACATTCCACCTGGAGATGGCTGCTGTCCAGCTGGCTGGGAAGGGGGCTGGATGGACAGGCAGCTGTTCGCCTCGGCCAGCATGGACATGCCCAAATTCTCCTCATGTGCTACTGCAGGGTACTCAGATATTCCGGTGATGAGGGCAGTCTGAGAACCTGTTTAGACCAGAACATGGGTTTCAGTGGCAGTTTTCTGGCTGATTAATTGGGTGACTTTGTGCAAGTCTCAGCTTGCCATTGCCCTATCCAATAAATGGGAATAGCAGCATTTGTCTCCCTTTGTAAAACACTTTGAGGTCTACGGATAATCCTCCTCCTTTTTCCCACCCATCATTATGGGACCAAGTGGAATCTTACGACACATTGAGTTTCTGTGGTCTGGCGTTTGCCAAGCAGCTGAGAATGACTCTTGGGCTGGAGTTTGCAACGTCTGGGACTGCCACGTGACGTGTCATGGCAGCTCCTCCTGGAAACCAGGTCACCACTCACCTGAGAGTGCTTGAGGTGGGCAGAGGAGCTGCAGTGGGCACCAGGAGGATTCAGACCCTGGGGCATCCTGTAGCCACACACATCAGCAATCCATCAATAACCCACAGCACTTTGTGGTTCAAAGCTCTGCAAATACCTAGGAGTGGAAAACTCCAAACAAGAGAAGATTCCTCTTGACCACCACACTACTCTGTTATCCTGGTGAGCAGCAGGCAGACCTGGACAAAGATCTTCACTGGGCATGTGGAGATGTTCTCATAACATGATGTTCAACAGTTGGAATTCAAAGACCTTGTGCTGTTGTGCACTACTGATATTTTAGGACACAGTTACTTCTTTCCCTGATTGTCCTTGGAATCACAGAGTAGAATGGGTTGGGTTGGAAGGGGCCTTAAAGATCATCTGGTTCCAACACCACCCCTGCCATGAGCAGGGATGTCACCCACTAGATCAGGCTGGTCAGGACCCATCCAACCTGGCCTTGTCCAGGGAATTTCTCCTATGCTGGAATGCAAATCCGTTCTTAAATCTCATCCCAAGCAGGTACCAACAGGATGTGCTACTGAAGTTACACTATTTCTTGCAATGGCTTGAAAGAAAACCTAAATGATTTCAAGTAAACCTTGAAGAAGGGAGGGAACAGCTAAGAAGTCAGATTGCTGCTACACAGAGATCTTCCCAAAGAACATTGCAAGGCTGAAGGAGCCTTGAAGAGCCAGGAAACCAGCAGAGATGGGTATCAGGTGGCAATGAGCTTACAGGAGAGAGGCTTGAAGAGAAGCTTGATCACAATCTCACAGGAGGAAGGGAAATGAGGCAGATGTATCCAGACATCTTCTGGCTGAAACTTGAAGGTGAACATTTTTTATTTTTTGTGGTGGTGGGGATCAGGAGCAGTAGCTTCCTGCAGAATAATGCCCCAAGGCTCCTGTAGTCCCTGAGTGGCATGGGGCAAGTGTTTGCAAAAATAGGCTGTAGTTGTAAGAGGAATGAGCTGGAGGTGTGTGGTGGCCTTTGCCAGGACCAGGAGCAGATGAGGGGATCCTCCTGAGTCCTGCAGTTCAGGATCCAATGATTTGGATTTCTTCTGCCGCAGCAGCATTAAAGCCACCTTGATCTTCTCATACCATCAAGTGCTGAGCCCCACCAGTTGGGGTAAAGCTTTTGAGATGGAATAGTGCTTCAAGGCTCAACTCCAAACACCATCAGTTACCTGGGCCAGCTTGAGCTGCCTCTTCTCCTTTGCCTCCACTGTTTCATTACAGGATGACAGCATCAGAATTACCTGGTGCTCTCATCTCTCCCTTAAATCAGAAAGAAACCCAAACAAACAGGTAACATACCAAGAGCCCATGAGTGAGTGAGTGCACATGAAAGGCTGCAATTTCCCAGAGCAGCACCCAGGGTCTGCTCCCTGGACCAGGGCTCAGAGACTCAGCACCTGGCTTGGCTGGACCCAATGGCTCTGTGTTTCATGAGTCCTATCAGGTATCATCTGTCCATACACAAGCTGAGCTTTACTTATAAAGTAAATTGCATTACATGGGCTATAAAGTACAATTTCAAAGCAGACCCGCCTTAAAAACATTTTGTTTAATAAAATAACTTAATTAGAAGAGAGCTTCTGGCTGATGTGGTTGAGGCTGTGATAATTTTTCCTTCTCAAATCATTTTCTCTGTTTATTATACTTAATTATAGTGTAATTATGTATCCATCCTCTAGGCAAATTATGCAATCAGAAAATGTGAGTGGTTCATTTGCCACTGCTGTTGGGACCAGTGTTTACATCCCCAGTACAAAATATGAGCACAATTCCTATTATTTATAATATTACATATATACATATATATGAAAGAAGTTTCACACAGGATGAAGAATTGGTGTAAATATTTTATTGGCACTCATTTTTGCATCATCCACTCAATTTGTTTGTGGCCTACTAATAATGGAGGCACCCAAAGATCAGGTAAGTAAAATCTTTACCATGAATTTTCTCAAACACAAGTACATGGCTGAGGAATGTGGAAGTTGCACAGCTGAGCTTTAATTTTGGTAGGACGGTTATTATTACTTTTAAGACCTGTTTTTGCATTTCACTTCCTGATGTTCCAGGATTTAGCACAACAAGAGAGAAAGGAACTCCACAATATCCAGTTGGGGAGTTGTGTTCACATCATGGGTTCAGACTAACCTATTTTTAGCCATGTGCTTCATGAACTTTCTAACCATGGCAGCCCTGACTTTAGCAGAGTGAGCTGTTTGTTCTTCCTTGTTTCCCCTGATGGGAGTTGACAGATCATGTTTGAACATACCAAAACATGAAGCCAAGTGTCCAAATCTTGAAAACCCTCCTGAGATGGATGTTTTCTCCTTCTTTGGCCAGCTCTCAGAGTTAATACAAACTGAATTCCCACTTGGCAATTTCAGCTTTTCTCTCTCTGCTTATTTTGCAGGATGAAGCCACTCTCACCAGCAGAGCAGATGGGGGAGGTGACACATCTACTGCTGGAGCTCAGCCCCCCATGTTTGTTACAGCTGGCAGAGGTGAGACATCCACCTCACCATCCCACCCAGAGAAGGAAAAAGGTAATTCCTGATCATCCTCACCAGCTCTGCAGCTGCCTCCTGGCCTCAAACAGCCTTTCCCTCTCCCCCAAAATGCAACCACTGCCCCATTCCTCCCTCTCCCTGAGAGGAGAACTGTCAGTTGTGGTCTCTGAGGGAAAGGCACTGCCCCAGCCAGCCTGGAATAAAGCTGGAGAATCAAAGCCCAGATCCAGGCAGATACTTTGTGGTAACCTAAGATGCCATGAACATCTGGGGAGATTTTTCAAAGGAGCCAGTGAATCCTCCTGGGCAGGGGCTGTTGCTCCATCTGAGCCGCTGGGGAGCTGCATTCACACCCACACAGGGGCCAAAGAGCCCAAACAGGGTGCAAACAGCCACTGCCCCAGCGCTGCCCGTGGCAGCGACACAGCACTGGGATGCCACATGCCAGGAGCCCCAAGCGTGGAGCAGCAGCAGCTCCATGGAGAGCTGAGGAGCACAGGACAGGAGCTGACTCAGTCCATGGCAAGGAGGATCTCCCAGCACAGGCTGAGATGGAGCAGCAGCTACGTAAGGTGTTGTTGTTTTTTCCTGATGTTATCCCCATTTTCCCAGGTCCCGGGTTCAGACAGACGTCTGCCATGGGCAGACAGCGAGACTGTGAGCTGGCACTGCTGCCATGAGCAAAGGGACAGGGCCATGGAGTGCTGGGCCCTGCCAGCCTCTTCCCACAGGGATCTTGCATGGGCAAAGGGTGCTCTGGCTCTGGCTGCCTGCCAGAGGAGGATTTGTCCATTACAGTCTCACTTGCTTTTGGGGTGTGGCCTGAAAAAGGGAGTGTTGGAATATTTGTAGGGGGTTTTCCACATTTTGTTATGAAACCCTTGGGTTTTCCATGCCTTGAATTTGGGAGCACATACCTTTAGCAAGTAATTTTACAGGTGCTTGGCTCCAAGGTGATGCTTCCCACCTGTTGGTTTGTAAATGCTCTGGAATGAGTGGTGTATTTAACTATTTCTAAGCAATGGGGAAGCTGTGGTGCAGTTTACCTGAGGTCAGGTGGAACTCTGAAGGAAGGGCTTGGAGCAGGAGTCAGATTGCCAAGTCCCCAGCTGCCAGGCACAAGTGGGGCTCCTCCATCTTTTCTGTCCTTTTCTGGCTTTGCTTCCCCTTGTATTCCTAGGGGGGGAAATGAAAGAGGGGGAAATTAAATGCAGATTATAAACTCCAGCATCTGTGCTAGGGGAATCTGCAACCAAATGCAAGTGGATGAATTTGATCCAGTACTGGCAACTGATTCTTAAAGAACTTCTTGTCTCAGAGGGAACTGGTTCAGAAACCAGCCAGGAGCTGAGACCCCAGAGCTGTGAGTGAGGACGAGGGCCACCCTTCCTAACTGAGGTTTGATCAGTTCAATGCCAGTTATTGGGAAGCCACAAGGGAAGCCTGGCCTATTTTTATACCTTGGAGCCCCCCTGGAAGCTCAGCCCCAGAAATGTGTTGCAGCACATGCTGAGCCTCACAGTGTCCAGGGGAGCACTGCACCCATATCTGAGCTGTCGTGAGCTAAAGCCAGCAGAAGGAGCTTTCCATTCACACCTTCTGCTTTCATGTCAGCATGCCATAGTGACATGAGGCTGCAGATGGATGCAGAGCAGGAAGAATGTTTGGACATATTAGGCAATGAGGATTGGTCCATTGGTCCAGCAGCTCACACAGCTCCAGCTGAGAGATCACAAGGCGGCAAAGGACCAAATTGAAAGCTTCTCATAAATAGAAGCAAAATGGGCTTTGCCCAGGTTTATTGAACATTTTATTTAAACCACCAGCTCCTGTCCCAGTCTGCATAATCCCACACCATGGCCTTTAAATTGCTAGCAGAATGACCCCATTTTCATTGGGTTCAGTGTCTTTTTCAGAGTTTCTACCTTTCCTCTCTGGGGAAGGGCTGAACAGCAGACATCCAGCTAAAATCCTGTGTCAACAGATGAAGGTAAAACACACTTTTCAGTCAGCTATGGGATGTGTTTCCCAAAAGCTCTGGTATCTCTGGTCCTCTGTACTTTGTCTGTGAAGCTATTACTTTGCCTGATAGAAGGGAACAATGCTCGACCATCTGGTAGCAACACCACCATAATTTAGGTTGCTTCACTCACTCTCCCATCAGCAACGGGAACAGAACTTCCTTCATTTCCCTTGATCTCTCAGCCCTGTGCTAGAAAGACAAAGCCAGAAGGACTGAGGGGAGTGAACTGTACCCTGAACTGGCTTTTTAGTTTTGAGGGACATCTCTGATTGTGAGTGAGATTCCTTCACAATTAGGACATTTCCCATGGGCACAGGGATAAAGAACTCAGTAACCCCAGTTTGGAGAAGACACTGGGTACTGTCCTATGTGCAAATGCCACTTTCACCTCCAGCAAAACCTGGGGACTGGGATCACATCACCTGGGCATCGTGCCTGGGGAATCACCACTGAGGTCAATGTCACCAAACAGCACCACACACACACACACACACACATCCAGCATGATTGTGAGGGAGGTGCTGAGCTCACTCATGTCCAGTGTGGAGAGACCTCCATCAGGGACCAAGCCACTTCTTCATCCCCATTGTTGGTTCTCTTAGAAACCTGAACCAGGGAAACTACTATTTGCTGCAATTCCTCTACATCAACAGGAATATCCAGGCCTGTACTCCTGTTTATCCACTCCTTGTAAGTGTAGTCAGACAGTGAAGGCCTGGATGCTGGAGTTTATGGCTTAAATCAGTGGGATTATTCATGAGCTGAGAGATAACCATGTGCTTTTGTGCTTGGCTGGAGCAGCGTCTCAAGCTGACAGCTGGGAGTCAAAAGCTCTGAGTCACCGGGTCCCTCCTCTCTGTCCTTCCTGTGGGACCAGTCTGCCCGTGTCTGCTTCCCTGCCTGCCGCATAAGGAGGGTGCCAATCGCTTTTATCTGATGGCTGCTCGCAAAGGGCCCTGAAGGGCTCTTCTGGCCTGTTGAAAATTCAGTAGAAGCTGGACTAGCGTGGAAAGATGGGAGGACATTTAACTAATGAAAGCACTGGGGCTCAGGAAGGCAATTACATCCTTTCTTTCTCCTGCCATTCCCACACCGGCTACTGGTGATTGCTGCAAAATCTTCCAGGGGCAGGGAGGATTGGGAGGCCATGGAAAAGGGTGAGACAAGGCCCTCGGAGCTTGGGGGAGGCTCTGTGGCGTGGTGGTTGGGGTGACCAGCACAGCAGGTTTCCAGCAGTAGTTACACCTTAAAAGAGGCTCCTTTCAACTAAAAACTTGATCCTTCAAGCCTCTGCTTCACCTATGCACTTTATAAAACAAAAACAGGCACAAAAGCTAGAGATAAGGAGAGGTACATGGGACAAATGCAAGTATTTTATGCCCCAATTTACAGTAAGTCCCCAGACAGCTTTTCACATTTAGCATGTACCTCTCTAAATAAAGATTATTTTCAATATAGACCCCATCCCCTGCCCTGCAGTTCCTGTGCAGTGTTGGTCAGTACTGCAGGGGGTCTCTCTCCCTGTGGACCTGCGCAGGACCCGCTCAGTGCTGAGCTTTAGGAGAGACAAGCAGTGTGAGGTGCAAAGGGCTGACTGGATCGAGGGCTGATGGTGCCTTTTCCTGGTCCAGTTGTCCCCTTGCCACCATTCCTGGGAGGAGAAGTTGTTCCTGCAGCCCTGCTTCAGTGCACCCCTGGTTTTGGGGGAAGCTGCCTTTGGCATGTGCCTGTAAGATGGGCTGTTCTGCTCCTCCCTGTTGTTAGCAAGTCAAATAGGAGAGTGTGAGAAACCCTGCGTAGCTACAGCTGCTGTGCCCAGGAGAGAGTGAGGCAGAGGAGCTGTGGGCATCCTTCCAGCTGCCCCAGCATCAGTAAATACAATTGCTCTCACTTTCCATTGATAGACATCAAAAAGCAATTAAGAATCAAGCTCTTCAAATTGATAGGTCTCCTGAATTTGAAACATTTTTCATTATTTGGTTGGTATCACTGCCTAGATTAGATTATTTTTTTAAAGGGAAGATTAAAATAAACAGTATTTATGATTTAATTATTTGAATGACTAAGAAGCTACAGCTTTATTTTTACTTCACAGAGCAGGAGATGTTTTTAATGATATGTTTTACTCACATAGGACCTTTCATCCAAGAATCTCACACTGCTTTTCAAATAATTAATTAATGCTCGTACCTCTCCATGAGACAGTTATTATCTCTGATGTTACTGATGGGTAAGCAAAGGCTTAAACAAAGACGTCAAGGCACAAACTGTTTTCCAAATATTAATTAACTAATTCTCAGCACTCTGTGAGACTGTTACTATCTCTGCCACTACCACTGGGTAAACTAAGGCACAAATCTGGAGTAACTCACCCGAGGCCATGCAGGTGAGTCAGGAGCAGCCCTGAGAATAGCAATGCGGGCTCTGAGCTCATTGTTTCCAGCAAGTCCTGCCCCGTATTCCTGACGATGGGCAGCACATTCCCTGGTGTGAAGCACAGCTGAAACCAGCTGCTTTGTGAAAATCTCCTCTGCTCTGTCTCCATCCATTGGAGAGCATGTTTGCCCACATCAATCTGTAGTTCCTTTTGAACTTGTTGTGGCTGGTGGAAGCTGGAGGAGCAGTGTTTGGTTTGAAGGCCCTGGGGAGCTCTGAGATGGTGTGGGGCTGTCCAGCAGCACACAGCACTTCTCGAGCCCATCCCTGTGCCAGCCTGTGTGCCATGCTCGGGCCAGCACAGCCTCGGGCTCAGCCAGGCACAGGGTGCCACGTGCAGAGCTCCAGGTGCAACAAGCTGAGCTGCTGAACCTGTGTGTGTCCTGCCCCATTTACCCACCTGCTCCTTTGGCGCATGGCAGTGGGGTATCTGTAAGGGAATGTGCCAGGGAATGTGAGGAACTCAGTGGCCAAACCCACCTTGTCCCTTGCACAGTCCATCAGCTCGGGCTTGGTGGGTGTTTATCCCACGGGGCAAGAGCTTTTGTCCTCCTCAGAAGGAAGAGGAAAGGGCAGGAAGCTGGAGGCACTCTCTGCCCCCACGAAGGGTCCACCTGTAGGATTCTCTGCACAGGCACCTGAACCCTCACCACAAGCACATCCCAGCTGAGCTATTTCAAACATGGGCTTGGCCCCATCAAATGCAGTCTCATTTCCACATGAAAGGGCTGGAGAAATATGAAGCCAGCTCATCTGTATTGATAAAAATTTGGCATTACTTTCCCTCAGTTATCTAAGCTTTCTGTGTACATTAATCCCAAGGCAAAAGCCTGGAAGATGGGGTGCATCTCAGCTGTCTTTCTGGGGGTGGGGTTTTTTTTTGTTTTGTCCGTTCTTTTGCCTAAACTTCCTTTGTCCAGTTGCAGTCTGCTGGAGCCTGATTGCTCTCTCCCCTGCAGTTTGGATGCCTCACTCTTGGAGCTCCAGCTCTGATGCAAGCGCTGGGGTGCCGAGTTTGCCAAAGCTGGCACGAGCAGCCTGTGCCCGTCTAGACACAGCCTAACTGTGGCACTAATGCCAGGCTTCCACAGGCTGAGCTTGGCATTCCTCAGAGCTCTGCCCACGGTCAGCACTTTGATCTTTATCCTTGAAAACCGCAGCCATTGACAAAGGTAAGATGAATTTCTGACTTTGAAAGACTTTGATGGCATTCCCCTGTTTTGGTTTGCATTTTGGGTTTTTTTTTTTCTTGTTGTTGTTTTTGTTTTTTGTTTTTTTTTTTTTTGCTTCTCCTTTGCTCTTCCAGCTGAACTTCATCATAAAGCTTCTGATTACAGCTGCAGCTCCAGGACCAGACAGAGGTCATGCTGTCTTGCTTTTTGCTGGTTTAAAATCTGAAGGGGAAACCCTAGGACACTTGTGAGACAGTCTGCCAGTGAGTGAATGTAAACCATAATGGGAATCGGAGATAGAGGCCCCTCAGGATCTGCTCTTGTACCTTCTTTAGAAAAACAAACCAAAACAAAACAGTCCTGAATAAGGCCAAGTGTCAAGAGCAGGAGAGAATGAGAACTATT